CATTTTTCACTCAAGAATCTCCTAAAGCCAAGTCCGGACGGGGGAGATATGGTTGGTTGAAGTAGGGCATCAATCCAGTTGGACCGAATCTGCGCGATTTCACCAAAACAGGCAAAACTTTTTGCATAGTTGGAATTTTAATGCAAGGATGGCTCCATTGGAAAGCTAACTTCTGGGGCTTTATCATAAGGGATGGCCGACCACCTTGGCCCTTTTGACCCGGTCGGCCGACCAGGTTAAGTGGTCGGCCGACCACTTGAACTGGTCGGCCAGCTCTCTGCAGCTTTGTCTCTGTGAGTTGGTTCCAGCTGTGCCAGCTGGAGGGCACAGACTGGATCCTCTATACACGTGTATGGAGGATCTTTGGCCTTGCTTCTTGGCTTCTTGGAGAAGCTTTGGTCTCCTTGGTCTATAAAGGAAGCCCTCCATCTCCATTGCAAAGGTTCAGATTTTGGTGAAGGCTCATAGATACATCCCTCTTTGTATCTCTCCCTTTGAGCCCTAAAAGAGTGAGCTCTTGACCCCTTTGCATACCATTTCCTAATCTAACCCCTCCACCATGACTCTAAGCATCTTGGAGGCCATTTTCAGAGGCTGAGGGACTGGTTTTTGGGTCCAGAGGTTGCTGGTTCTTGCTGTGCCACAAGGGTAACCATTTTCTCCCTTTTTGAGCATCATTTTTTATCCTTATTTTAGCCATAATTTAAAGCATATTTGAGCTTTGGTGTAAACTAAAAAAAGTCTTATTTTGAGCTTCTTAACAAGTTTGTTTAAGGTCATTTTTCTGTTGGGGGTCATCTGCCCCCTTGCATGCTTGTTTTCATCTTGTTTTGAGCCATGCATTAAGACCTTTGCATTGTGCTTTGTTTGGCCTTTTAGCCACTGAAATCCAGTGGATTTTCAGTGGCTAGCATGTTATTTTGAGCCCCAAAATCAGAGAGAGGTGACCCTCACACCCCTTGTCTTGTTTACTAGCATTCTTGGCCTTACAAGGAAGCCCATGTGTGCATGTTTCAAAACCATGTTTCAGGCCCTTTTTGGTGAGTTTTGTGACCTGCATAACCTCTGTCCAGAGGTGGTTTTTCCATTTTTGGTGTCCATCATGCATGTGTAGAACAACCCTATTTATAGCCCATCAAAGGAGCTTATCTTTCTTGCATGCATGGACCATGTTTCATTGGGTTTTTGGGGTTTATTTGGCATGTCATACCACTGTTTTATGCTGGTTTGGTGACCATTTGATTGCCTCATATACTTATAGTGCAAATCCTCTTTACTAGCTTGTGTTGCATGCCATTTTGGCCATTGATTCTAGCACTTTTTGGTCATGCTTTAAACTGATTTTGTGCATGTTTTGAACTGCCTTAGCTCTGTTTTTATGCCTCATGGTCAAATAATGCTTGCTATGCATGGTTGTAGTTCAATATCCTTGCCTAGTTTTGAGTTTTGGAGCTTATTGCATGCCTATGTTGAGTTTTTTCCATGTTTTGAGGCCATTGTATACCATATTTCAGAGCTTACATGCATGCCATATTCACATATTTTTCACTTTTTAAATGTGTTTGAGAGTTGTGCATAAATGCCTCGTTTTCGAACCATTGCATAAGCTTCATTTCTATGCATGTTGAGCCATCATTTTAGGCCATTTTCCCACTGTCTTAGACCTGCCTAGGGTCTGTTTGGGGTTGGTTTTTCCATTTGTGCATTGCTTTGTGTACCTCTAGTGTAATGCGCTTTACTAGTTTCGGTATTCGGGCCATCTAGCATGCATTGTGTGAAGTGTTTGCATGATTCGGGACCATCTTGCATTTCATTTCAGAGCTGAAAAATGTATGATTGCATGCCATATCTCATCCCTTGCCATGCTTTGGTAGAGTGGCATTTGATGCCTTAGGTTCGATCCCTTGCATTTGTGCACATTCGCATGTGTTTTGTTACCTAATTCCATCATGTTTGGCCACTGATTTGAGTGTGGCTGAGGTCCATTCATTTTAGTTTAAGTTCATCTTGCATTGTATATGCCATTTAGTCCATGTTGTTGCATGATTGACTATTGCATTGTGCATGCCTTGATCATTTCATTGTTAGCCTCCATGTGTGCATTGCGTATGCCATATAGCTTTCATGTGCATTGAGTATGCCATTTGTAGTTCATAGCATTGCGTATGCTAGTTGCACCTTTGTATGTCATTCCTTGCATGTTTGCATGTCTTGGTTGCATTTCGTTTAGGATTTCATGTTAGATATTGCATCGTGTTTGCATGCCATGCCATTCTAGTTGTTGCATAGTGTTTGGAGTAGGGTTTAGTCCAAGCACGGGAAATGAGGGACGTTTCGTACTCAAAGTGATGAAACGTGCCTTGATTCCCGGTCGCCGACACTCCAGATTACCCATGATGGAGTTTAGGTCTTGTTGTGTTTATGTGTGCATTCATTTTACATCGAGTCGTGCAATCTGACTCCTTGGCCATCATGCATCGAGATGCGTGACTGATGGCACGAAGATTGAGGACTACACTTCTTAGAGCTTGTGCAATGATGGAGAGAGTAGTCACGCATACATATGTTGAAGATACTTTGCCATGTCCCTTTCTGGCTCTCTGTTGCAGCAAACCAGAAACCAGCAGCAAAAACTGGTCAAGCAGCTTTCTGGCGCTTTGTGCAATATTCCGGGACCAGTCGGGGGGCATCGCGATGGATTTCCCGACAAGGCTGCCCGAGCACGCATGCATCCCCATCATTCGGAACAGAGCTGAGGCAGTTCGTTTTATTTAAATTTGCATGCTAGTCTATTTATCTTAGTTAATTTGTTAATTAATTAGGGTTGTGTAATAATTAGCTGTAATTCATTATTCATTCGGTTGTGTATTATTTATTCGGACCCTCCGAGGGAGGGCAATGTTGTAAATAAGTGTGTGTGCGTGTGATGTATGTCTTCCAACCCCACGTCTTTCTCCTTTTTATTTACTAGCTTATGATGGTTAGTTTATGGCACATTTTAATTAGCATACTTATGTTCGCATGTTTGCATTCATTCATCTGTTTTGCATACACCGGGCTCGGCGCATCATACTAACTGCATTGTATTTCAATTTCAAGTTGAATACATGTTATCTGTTGCATTTCATATGCCATGTTTAGAATAGCCAAGCCTATCTTAGTTGCATTTTGCATGTGTTGCATTAGCCATCTCAGCATAGTTAGGATTCATGCATGTTTTCTAATTAGCTCATTTCTTTGGCTCGGAGTACTCGGTAAGTATTTATGCTTTAGCATCCTTGCATGCGTGTGAGTGACTGCCATGATAGCATGCTTACCATGAGGCTATGTGTTTATGTGATATAACTGCCTGAATGCCTGTGGGTGAAGATTGGGTTGCTTGAGTTGGAATAATTCGTCAAAACCCATGTTTTAGCCTACTTGCGAGTAGCAAAATTCAACCCATTTTAAAAAAAAAAATAAACGGGCATGCGATGCTTTGTTCCAATTTAGGCAATCCAGTCTATACTTGTATGCTGTGCGCATCACATAGTAATTCTAGGCTAATAACCGGAATAAGAGCACATAATGTTTTCAAAACTCAATATCATGTTTAGTAGTGGTCGATCTTTGATCGGGCGAGCGGGGGTGCTCACGAAGTGACCTTCCCCAATCATACCCAAGTTCCCGAGCCGAGGCAACTTTGGTGATGACGGACACGTGGCCTTAGGCAACGAGTCAGGGTTTCCTAAATTTCTCAAAATAAAATATTTAGGTAGCGACTCTGTATCTGGCAAAGCAGTCCATGCTTAGCACTTCTTTCAAAAAATCTATTTTCAAAACGATTTGTCGGATTTAGACTCTTTGATGATTCATCGGTCTTGCATTGCATTCTGCGAGATTAGATACAGGACCGTGACATTGAGTCCTGAACTGTAGTGAGCCCAATGAACAAAACGGGGGATTCCCTCCCGGGACGTTCGGGGACGTCTACACCCCTAAGATGAAATGACTCTCTCTATCTCTCTCTTATTCTTTTTATTTGTTTTACTTTTCTCATGTCTTTTCTTATTCTTCTTTTGCTTTAAATTTTTATTTTTTTGTTGTTGTTGTTTCGATTCTCTCTTCAACTCGATCTTCATTTTTGGTTTGTTGTTTTATCTTTTCATATTTATTTCGAAATTTCTTCTCATTCCTTTCTTCCCCTTCTTGTTTCTTTGCTTTGATACTCTATTTTATTCTTCTTCTTTAGTAATTTAAGAATTGAAATTATTTCTAAAAATTGAATTAAGGAGAATGTGATTTACTTTTTTTTAGCTTTGTTTCAGATCCCAATAATAATTATTTATGTCTTTCAAAATTAACAGTATTAGCAAACTTATAAATAATGACTCCAAAAAGCAAGAAAGCTGTAATTAAAATTTCAATTGTAAAATTATGGCATTCATATCCTTAAACATCTCCATTTAAAAGTTGTTAACAATTTTTAAGTGGCGTCAAGTATTGGTGAAAATATGATATAGAATAATTTTATAACATGTTATCTGGTCGTATATCATATTGATTATATATTTTTGAATAAATATATGTGATGACATAGCTTTGTGATATTTTTTGCATTGTATTGAAAGAAATTGATATTGCATTTCACACATTCACTACCAAAATTTTTTTAAAAAATATCAAATAAGTTTTACATTTTTAATAAAATTCCCATGAAATCCTATGAACGCATGAATCATGTATAGTGTTAATAGGACCCAATGAAAATTTATAAAAGTAGGACTGATTTGATATCTTCCCAAACATATACTATATACGTTCACCCCCTCAAGATCAAGATCCTACATGCGTCCCTATCTATGCCAAATAAGAATTTGAAAGGAACTTATTTTACCTAATATTTTTAGTATCTAATGTTTTATTAATAATTCATGTAAGACCCATTAGTCTATAACAATTGGTGATGTGCAAGTTAAGTGGCAAGTAAAAATGGTTAAGGGTAAATTAGACTGATCGCCTTTGATAGTCTCACTAATGTAGCATTTTCCTAAAGACAAACAAACTAAAAAAAGTCAAGCATTTTACTTTAGGGTACAAATTACATACAGTAATATTGCATCTCATAGATGCTTATTAAAGACGGACCACGAAAAAGAAAAAATGAAGGCATTTATTTTCTTTAGGGTACAAATTTCAAAGGTTTCTCATTCTTTAGCTTGAACTGGCCATTTGTATCTTTGAATTAGCCATGATGGAAGTGGTGTCCTTGTACAAATATGTATTAGTTTCTTCACTGCTTGCATAGTCTGAATACAAATAATTAAATGGTCTAGGAGGTGGCTTCACCTCCACTTCTCCCTCCAACATTTTCACTACAACACTCATCGGCGGCCTAGCATGGGGCAATTCTTGAACACACCACAAAGCTACCATTGCCATTCTCTCAGCTTTCTCTCTGTTGTTCTCTTTGATTCCACACGACAACAATGCCATCTCTCCTAACTTGCCTTTCTCAAACTCATTCCATACTTGTTTTGGGAACCAATCCAAGCTCTCATCAGGTCCAACTTTGGTATTCCTCCTCCTCCCTACTATCTCAAACAAAAGCATACCAAAACTATAAACATCACATTTATCTGTAATGGGATAGTTCTTGAGAAGAAACTCTGGGGCTGAGTAACCAGGAGTCCCTCTATATCCTTCGGGAGAGTCATGTGTGTCGTCTCTATTGCAAAGCTTTGCTAGCCCGAAATCAGCAACTTTGGGAGAAAAATTGGCATCTAACAAAACATTACCGGGCTTTATGTCATAGTGAATGACCCTCGGTTGACACTCTTCGTGTAGGTAAGCGATACCTTTTGCTATCCCAATCGCTATCTCATGCAGCTTCTCTCGCTCAATTGCTTGTGTATCACTGAAAAGGTGTTTATCTAGTGATCGATTTTCCATGTACTCGTACACCAATGCGCTCATAAAGTTGTCGTGGCAAAAACCGTATAGCCTGACTAAATTTATATGGTATGTTCTTCCAATAGTGCTCACCTCTGCCATGAATTGTTCCTCTGCTCCTCTATTATTCGATTTCCTATTGAGGACCTTAACTGCGATCTTAACTCCATTTGGAAATTGACCCTTGTAAACAATCCCAAAACCTCCGGAACCCAACCTTGTAGAATAATTAGTTGTGAAACTACATAGTTGTTGGGCTTTGAATCTAACCGGTTTCTTCTTTGCCAAGTCTTGGACGATACTCTCCATTGTTGGCGCTTCGATTTCCCAAACTGGAACCACATTCAAGGTCTGTGGTGGAGCCACAGTTGTTGGCAATTCTGGACCAATTGCTCTTTTTCTCCTTCTTCTTCTCCTAGCCCATGCCAATGAGATAACGACAATGACTGCAAGTACTACTACAGACATTATTATGCCTGTAACTAGAAAAACAAACAAACAATCATCGAAATGGTGACATTTTGGGCTCACAATTAAGTTAAATCTTAGTGTTTAAATTACAGGTTCTGTAAGCAAAGTGTCACTTCAGTTTTCATGGTTTCAATTTAAACAATTTGGACCTCATATTTTCAATTTTGTTGCAATTTTATCCCTCTATCATTAGCCGCTAAATATTTTGAACGAAACAAACCACATAGAAAATTAAAAGGACGAAAGTGTAAATTACATCAATAATCCTATAGTTTCTTGTGAATTTCACATTAGTCTCTTTAATTTTACACCTAATATTTTTCTTTTCAAAATTCTTATGATAAGTGACAGACAGTTGGCATTACAACAAAACTAAAATTATATGGTTTAAATTGAAATTGTGAGGACCAAAATGAAATTTTACTAAAATTAGAGGACCGACAATATAATTAATCCGTTGATATATTGTTATTGTATTAATTTGAGAAATTACAAAAAAGAAAAAAAAAATTCTCAAAATTTGACACTTATAACAAGTTAAATTCTGAATTTTTAATTTTTTCTATTGATCTCCAAGCTTCTAAATTGATATCAATTTCAACATTCCATCTGTCTGTAAAGTTGGGTGTACTAAAAGGCAATATATATGAATATATATATATATATATATATGCCTTATACAACAGAGATCAATTTAAAAGTTTGGAATTGAAAATGATTTTTTTTTTTAAAAAAAATAATTAAGATTTAATTTGTCACATGAGTTTTTTTGTTTGGAAAAATTAAACTGCTAGTCCCTATAATTTAATCTTTGTATCATTTTGACCCTTATAATTTGAATTGAATCGATTTTGATCTTGAATTTAATAATTTGTCTCAAATTGGTCCAATTGTTAGCATTTTTTTATGGCAAATGAACATATGAACAACATGTGTCACGCTCTTAAGAGCAAAATTGTAAACTTATCAATTCAGTGACTTAATCTCAACTAATTCAGTGAAAAGTTTTTGTTAAAAAACCTATCGGCATTATCAATTAGATCAATTGATGCAAAATTTAAAATCAATGATAAAAATTAAACTAATTAAAATTACAAGAACTAAAATGACACAAATGATAAACGTAGGAATTACCAATGTAATTTATCCTTTTTTTTTTTGTTGTTGTAATTCTTTTTTTTTTTTTTTTTTGTTTTAATTTTTTTTTTTTTTTTTTTTTGGTGGTAAATTATACTTAGCACTCGTGCAATTTACAGCCAGTCTCACTTTGGCCCCTAATCTTTTAAAGTGGTAGACAAAACCTCACATGCTCTAGTTCCAATTCAACCCAAGTAGCAGGTGAAATTCATATGGCCACTATCAAGACAATGCAGTAAAGGACAAATTATACTTTACATCCGGTCTCACTTAACCTCATAACCGTTAAAAAATTGAGAATAAACATCTCACACTTTTAGTGAAGTTCCAATTCAATCCATCCGTTAACCCATGCTAGGCATCTTATTTAATGTAGATTAACAAATGAGTTTGATTGAAACTTAACCGAAAGTAAGAGACGTCGATTGTGACTTTTTAAAGGTCAGAAGACAAAAAGTGAGATTGAGCATAAAATGTAAAGGTGCTAAATCTAATTTTTCATATTTTTTTTTAATTTTTAAAACAACTTCAACTTGATGAACTAACTTACCAGCAGCTATTGTCCCAGCGTTGCTGGAGATGTCGGGCGGGGGAGGGTTGGAGAAGTTGGCCGAAAGATTGCTGACGGAGACAGGCGTTGACATCTCTGGGGTGGGAATCAAAAACACTTTGAAAATTCAATTCAAATAAACCAGCATTGATTTCTTGGGTACAAAAATTTGACATTTATCATGCATTTGTTGACTGTCAATGGAAATTTTATTTGGACAAAGATTACTATATAGAAAAAAGACTAAACACTTGCTATTTAAGTTTCGCAATTCACCCTTAATGATATATGATAACGGAGTTAGGTCTTACATGATAAAATTTGTGACAAATTAAAAATTAGACACATAATTTGTTATATCATTGTGAATAAAATTGTACAACTTAAATTGTGAGTTTCAATTTTTTTTCCTGTCAAATTAATTTGAAATGGAAAACTAATTATAAATTGGTCCAAAAAAGATAAATATATAAAAATATCGATTATGTGGGGAATGAAATCTTGCTTACCTTGCCCCTGGTCTCACCTTTCGCAGAAAAGAGGGATTTCAATATATTAGCGCTTTAAACTAGTATTCAAGGACTAGCAGATTGTAATTGAAGCACTATATAGTATAGACTCTCATTTTTGTCGTCAAAACAGTCACATATATATGGAGAAACCAGATCATCTATTCTTAAAACAGTAATATTAGAGATTAAAAATTCATATATAGAAAAATATCAAGAAAAAATTATATCTACCCTAAATTCAACGCTTGTATTGTGGAACTCATGCACTCTTAGAATAGAAGGATTAGAAAAAAAATGAATTTTGAACGTCTATGTTCTAGTGAATTAAAAAGTTAGATTTGATGACTATCATGTCATCATGTCATTTTTCCTTTTTCAATCTGATGATTAGATTATCCTTTTATCACACTTCTTAATTTAGTAGAGAAAGTAGATTTGAAAACCATTTTTCTAGTCTTTCGTAAACAATTATACATGATTCTTTATGTTATTTTCATTAATAATGTTAGGAACGCACTACATAGAAATATATTGATAAATATGATTTTCTAGATATATATTACAAATATTATAAAATTATACATATTCATATATTTTATGTGCTTTATAAAATATTCATGTTTCGATAAAAAAAAAAGAAAGAATCAAAACATATCCTCGAATTGATAAAAATAAAGAAGGGAGATTTAGCATAAAACAAACTTGGGTTAACTAAAATATCTCATTGAATGTTCATTAATTAAATTTTAAAATTGGTCTAATTTTTTACAGGGTAAAACCCCTATCATGAATTAGAAGTTTTTTTAGAGCTTAATTTGAGTAAGAAATTCACATACCAACAACCAGAAAGTGTACACTTGGGTTGAGAACTCTGCTTTCACCACCAAATGCAGACTAAACTTGCCTTTTTCTTTGTTTCTTTCTTCTCTTTGTCCTTGGTTAAACTGATAAATAAATGTAGATGAGAGAGAGAGAGAGAGAGAACTAATGGCTAAACTGATAAATAAATATAAATGAGAGAGAGTGTACAAAGAAGGTGAGAGGAGGAAATTTCAAAGAGTACCACAAGTTCAGAAGTCTATGCGCAAGGATGGACTTTTGGGGCTGGCAGGACCACACCCCCACCCAAAGTTTTGACTAAAAATGGGAGAGAAATCAGACCTTTTGTCTATATATATTCATTATTTAAAATTTTAATTTGTCTATATATATTTTTATACAGGGATTACCAATATCCCTATCATGAAATAGAAGTTTTGACAAAATTCCTTCGATAGAATAGTATTAGTTAAGAACATGCTTATAAATTATATAAGTTTGTTATCTTTTTATTCTTGGCAATCTCGTTTGACAAAGCTCCTTTTAGTTGTACTTTTATTTGCTCTTTTTATTTCAATGAGATTATGAGTACTTAGATGCGAATCCAACCCGAACTGTGCCTTGAAGAGAAATTTGTGATGTTAATTTTTTCAAGATTGCCACTTCGCTGACTATGACAGGGATCAAGCTGCCCGGTCAGCTCGCGGGGGTCCAGGGGGCAATGCCCCTTGGCGGGTCCGGGGGAATGCCCAGGACTCAATTGCTCAACAAGAGACAACCATATGTTGCTTGAGAGAAACAAAGCAAGTAGTGCACAATGTCCATTAATTTACCTCTTTATTTCTTTGTTTCTTGTTGTGTTTGATCAGACATATTGCATAAAACAAAAATAACAAATTAATCATTGAAGGGCATGGAAAGGAGGGAGCTGTTCTCTACTAGGTATGATTTGTGCCTCTACTCTATTCTGAGAGAGAATTGAGAACTCAATTTTTTTTCCTCCTCTCATATCCTGTTCCATTAGTTGGCATTGTAGAGACATGGAACAACTGTATAGCTCTTATTCATGTTTTTTTCTATGAAATACAAGTCCATATATATAGACTATCATACAGAGTTTATTCTAGACAATACCTTTTCTTTACAACTCATGCCACATGCACTCTTGCTTTACAATTCATGCCACATGCACTCTTGCTTTACAATTCATGCCACATGCACACTTGCTTTACAACTCATGCCACACTCACTCTCATTTTACAACTCATGCCAACAACTTTGCCATTTTCTTTGTTTCTTTCTTCCCTTTACCCTTGGCTAAACTGATAAATAAATACAAATGAGAGAGAGAGAGAGAGAGAATACTAAAAAGATGAGAGGAAATTTCAGAGAAGAAGACCACAAGTTCAGAAGTCTATCCACCCACAAGGATGGACAGTCAGCGCTGGCAGGGGCCACCCGAAAAATTAAAAATTGAGGAAATTATATGCAGCGGGAGGAGGAGAAAAAATTTATAAGGATAAATTATAAACACACTCTTAAAATTTGTTTAAAATACAGATTATTTCTTGTAATTTGAAAAATTATAAATATCTCATTATTAGAAATTTTTTATTTAACAGAATTAATTAAAAAAAATAAAATTTATAATTGTTCTCCTATATAATAACAAAATTATATGCAGCGGGAGGAGGAGAAAAAATTTATAAGGATAAATTATAAACACATTCTTAAAATTTGTTTAAAATAGAGATTATTTCTTGTAATTTGAAAAATTATAAATATCTCATTATTAGAAATTTTTTATTTAACAGAATTAATTAAAAAAAATAAAATTTATAATTGTTCTCCTATATAATAACAAAATTACTTAAGTTATTAATTGAAACATATTTCTAACATCATTAAAAATCGTTAATTGACTTGCTACTTTATTAATAAAATGAGTGATTTGTTATGAAATTAAAAATCGGAAGGGGTGAAATATAATTTCTAAAATTATAGGAAGCGATTTCTATTTTAATTAAAACTCAAGTAGTGTATTTGTAATTCACACAAATTACAAATATATGGAGGCACAAGTTTGTCTTCTTTTCCCCTTTTGCTCTGTTTCCTCTTACCTTTCCCCAGTCTCTTCTGAGTAACTACTGCCCATCCCCGACCATTGGTCACCGCCCTCCCTCCTTCTTCTCTCTCTCCCAACCCCAGCCATTTATGACCCACATGCATCTCCCTCCCCCACCGCAAATTTCTGCACAACCAAACTCAACCTAGTGTGAAAAGAAAACTCCTGAATCATGAAATGTTGAGTTCTGATTTGTTTGGTTTTGAAACAAAAATATTAAGGTTTCATAATTTACTCAGAATACATATGCGGGTAGAGATTAAATTAATGAAGTGTAGGGTCCGTAAATGAAATAAATTTGAACCATTGATTATTATTTCTAGATAAATAGTTCTGGATTTCTAGTCTTGTTGATTTTGAAAATAGTTTTTACAAAATTGGAGTTTTGTAGTTTGTGATGATTTGTAATTTTTTTTATTTATAATTGAATAGATTATTGTGAGAAAAAAAGTGATTAAATGATATGAAAGGATGTAAGATAATGAGAGAGGAGAAGGAAAAAAAATAATTGATTGATGTATAGAATATAAAAGAATGAGAGAAGAGATGACAAACGTGATTGGAAAAAGTCTTGAAAAAATTATAAACCAAATAAATTTTGAATTTTGAGATTTCAAAATCAAACCAAACCCAACCAAAGTTTTTTGAATTTTTTTTTTTAAATTCACTAAAAAAAATAAAAATAAAAATAAAAATAAACCAACCCTAAACACCGAGCAATTATTCATTGCCTTTGGGGCATTGACATGGCAATATCCTAAATCAATCCAAATCATGCATTGGTGTGAGTGAGTCCCAACAAATGAATGGCTTGGATTGATTTGGAGCAATATTACATGAAGCATTGAATAATTTTTGCCAAACACCTACATCTATCGCCACACAAGATTTTTATTTTGAAAAATTTATTCGCCCCTATTCTCATACTCCTCTCTCTCTCTCTCTCTCTCTCATTCTTTTTGTTTGTTTTAATTTTCTCATGTCTCTTCTTATTTTTATTTGTTTTAGTTCTCCCGTGTTTGTTTAAAAAAAAATTGACAATTGTATTTTTAAAAATAGATTATTCATTTTTTTTTATAATAAACACAATAAAAATATTTTGTGTATATTATTTTAGAAAACACGTCACAGTACAAATATGGAAGCTGCTTACTTCAAAATAGGAAAGAAAATTTCATCTGAAGAAAAATAAAATCTAAAAATGCAAAATTAATTACAAAACCAATCACCTCAATTTTTTTTGATCATACATATTAATGGTAAGCCTGTTGCTCTACTTATGTTTTGTGTAATTGATTTGATATTAATTCTGTATTCATAGAATTTCTGAATATGAAGGACGCATTATTTGTTCATTTTTTTTTTCTTGGTTGTTTAAACTTAATATCTCTGGTTTGTCGGTTTTGATTGATTGTGAAAGAGGAAGATGGGTTGTAAAACTGTCTTGAAAGAAACCATTTATGTTAGATAATGTCTCAATGGGACCACATAATTAAATGTGGTGTTATCATTTATAAGAAGCCTACAATTTAAGTGATTCAATTTAGTTAATAGGCTTAAGGGTATATGTGTTATGGACCTAATGTGTAGATACTAGTTGTATAATTTCTATTTCTATGAGGGGCAGAAATAGAAATTAAAACATATTGATTAAAGTTGGTTTTCATTCCTTTTGAACTTCCACAACCTTTCAGTTTTGAAAACCAATAAATAGAAATTAAAACCAATAAGTAAACCCGCAGGTATGACCTCCCTTGGAATCCCATAAAATATATTCCATTTTATGGTGGTGCAGAATACCATGATTACCATCATTATGTTGGAGGACAAAGCCAGAGCAACTTTGCATCCGTGTTCACCTACTGTGATTACATCTATGAAACTGATAAGGTCGTTATACAATTAGTTTTAATTATTATTTGAAGTTTTTTGGTTTGACCTAACTGATTATATTGTATCATAATAATGTTATTATTTGATTTATGTCATTAGGGCTACCGGTATCAAAAGAGGCTCCTCAAGCAGGTAAACACTGCAGTCTTTTGTCTTTTTATTTGTGTTAGAGTTTTGCTTGGCAACTTGTTTAAGTTTCCCTCCACATCTTTCCTTAGAAAGTGTTGGTGCTCCGTCCAACATTTTATCTCAGTGAGATGTTGATTGAGGTGGAGTTCGACTACTGCTTTTTTAGTTGATTTTTGCTTTTTTAGAATCTAAAAACGCTGATGCGTTTGTTATGCAAAAAGTTTTGAAGTTCTTTTCAAAGTTTTGCTTTTTGATGTGAATTTGCCAAGTTACCCTTATGGTGTTGTGGAATTTCACAAATTGTTGAGGGTAAAATCGTCTTTGCACAATTTTGTTGAGCTTTCCAAAAAAAAAAAAAAAACTGTCCACCGAATCATTTTACAATCCCAGAAAACAGATTGCCATTTTCACAAAACAAAACAG